GCCCCCACAAGGTGGGGCAGTGGCATATATACAGAACTTCCTTCTCCCATCCTGGACTGCATTGTGAAGGCTGCAGAAGAGATGGCAAGATGAAAGCTTTGCTATTTGCGTTGTTGTTGGTGGCATTTGTGTGCAAGGACCCAGGTAGTCTCATGAACCTTTGATCTCGGTTGAGGATTTTATTATGTATTTATATATTTATAAATTTTATTGTCTGCCCTTCTAACCATAGGGTAACTCTGGCCGGCTTACAATTAGCATCGAAGGTAAAGCATAAAAAGTTCAAATCCACCCTTAAAACCAAAGAAAGATGGGGAGGGGTGGGGTGGAAGTATGGGTTCTGTTATTATTTAATCAACCAACTCCATTGTGTGATTCCTCCACCGGGGCCCTTTGCTGACTGGGTGGGCCAAACAACTACGGCCCTATGCAGAATCCATCACCTCACACGTAAAAAATTCATTCCATTTCTTAGAGATCATAAAGAAACAAAACTTACAGCCCAGCGACCTACTCGTGAGCTCGATGTCATAGCCCTGTTCACCCAAGTGCCAATCAAAGAAGCCTTGACAGCTATCCAAAACAAATATAACCCCCCAAAACACATCCTAGATGTGACCAACCATTGTCTATCCAACACATACTTCATCTATAATGGACAAAAATACAAACAAATAGAAGGAGCACCCATGGGATCACCCCTCTCACATGTCATTGCAAATCTCTACATGGAACACTTTGAAACCCAAGCTCTAGAAAAATCTGAACACAAACCCAAACTCTGGCTCAGATACGTAGATGACACCTTCATAATCTGGCCACATGGGAAAGAAAAACTGGATAACTTCCTCATACACCTCAACAGCCTACACCCCAAAATACAGTTCACCATGGAAACAGAAGCTAATAACCAACTTCCCTTCCTAGATGTCTTAGTCTACAAGAAATCCAATGGCTCCCTAGGACACACCATCTACCAGAAGAAAACACACACAAACCGCTATCTGCATGCTCTCTCACACCACCACCCAGCACAGATCAACTCTGTAGCCAAGACACTCATCTCTAGAACAAAACGTTTAGCTGATGAACAACACCTAAAAACCGAACTACACACTCTCACTAATGTACTTACATCCAATGGATTCCAATGAAAGAAGATTACCAAACTAATCCAAAAAGAAACCCTCACTAAAACCAAAGACAGAGAACAAGAAAACGGCAAAGCCCTCCTCCCTTACATAAAAGGCACCACAGACAGAATCAGTAAGATCCTCCACAAACACAACATTAAGACAGCATTCTGCCCAAACAGAAAAATATCCACCATCCTAAGAAACCCCAAAGATAAAATTGAATTAGAAAATCAAGGAGTATACGAAATCCCATGCACCACTTGTCCCACCACATACATCGGACAAACCAACAGAAGAATAAGTGCACGCATTGAAGAACATAAGAACTCAGTCAAAAAAGAGGAACCAACTTCTTCCCTGGTCCAACACTTTAAAATCACAGGACATGAAATTGACTTTAAAAAGACCAGAACTATCGCCAAAACTGAACATTTTAATAACAGAATAATCAGAGAAGCCATCGAGATAGAAAAACGCCCACACAGCATGAACAAACGAAATGATACCTCCCGCCTACCAGCCATTTGGAAACCCGCCCTTATTGACAAACGACTCCCTAACACAAAAAATGACACCAGACCCACACTCCCAAAAACCACACAGGATGTCACCACCACACATCCACGCAAAAAGCAAACCCAAAGCTACACCGATGATGAGGCACGACCACAAACCAGAAGCCAGACCACAGCTGCATCATTAGCCACTTTAAACCCCTCCAATCCATACGTAAAGCAAACTGGCACCCACCATGAAGATGAGGCACGACCATGAACGCGAAGACAAAAAATAACAAGGCAGCCCAAAATCTTAAACCCACCTGCAACTGAGACTAACCTGAGCACAACCAAACAGAACACTCCCCCAGCCAATCAGAGCATAGCCAATCCCCCAGCCAATCAAAGCACAGCCAAGCCCCTAACCAATCAGAACACACCTCCACCTAATCAGAACACAGCCAAGCTCCCACCCAATCAGTTCATACCCCCACTGGCAGTTAAAAGGAAGAAACAGCTAAGACCACACATTGCTGCTTGAAGCACGAAGCTGAAAACACCAGCCTGAAGATGACGAATGGGACTTCGTCGAAACGTCGCCAAGACACTCCCAATTTTACGCGGGAGAAAACCCGAACAACCAAAGACCTACATACAAACACCCGCAAAAACCTCAGAAAACACACACACACACACACACACACACACACACACACACACACATATATATGTGTGTGTGTGTGTGTGTGTGTGTGTGTGTGTGTGTAGGTCTTTGGTTTCGGGTTTTCTCCCGCGTAAAATTGGAAGTGTCTTGGCGACGTTTCGACGAAGTCCCATTCGTCATCTTCAGGCTGGTGTTTTCAGCTTCGTGCTTCGAGCACAGAAAACACCAGTCTGAAGATGACGAATGGGACTTCATCGAAACGTCGCCAAGACACTTCCAATTTTATGCAGGAGAAAACCCGAACAACCAAAGACCTACATACAAACACCCGCAAAAACCTCAGAAAACATACATACATACATATATATATATATATATATATATATATATATATATATATATATATATATATATATATGAAGGTCTTTGGTTTTTCGGGTTTTCTCCCACCAAAAATTGGAAGTGTCTTGGCGACGTTTTGACGAAGTCCCATTCGTCATCTTCAGGCTGGTGCTTTCAGCTTCGTGCTTCGAGGAGAAAACCCGAACAACCAAAGACCTACATACAAACACCCGCGAAACCTCAGAAAACATATATATATATATATATATATATATATATAAACATATATATATATATATAAAACTTTCTTCTCCCATCCCGGACTGCACTTTGAAGGCTGCAGAAGAGATTGCAAGATGAAAGCTTTTCCAGGAGGGCTCCTGCATAAAGGATGTGCTCCATTGTGCCTTGTAGGGGGCCAGTTTCTGGAGATTAAGTGTTGCACCACTGACTTTTGCAATGTTTAAAATGCTGTTTTGGGTTTTGCTGCCATCCATCATGGACCATCCTGGCAAATTTGAGCTTGTGGCCTTTACGGTCCATAATTCACCCCCTTGACTTCTTTGGACACCTCATCCTTTCTCCTTTTTCTCCTGGTCTACAAGACTTGTTCTGCTCTCTCTGTAGCTTGGCAACTGAATAAATTTGTGCATTTACATTCAAGCGTAGTGGATGTGTTTGGCATGATGTGTCCATTTTCCTTTTTTGAAAGTTCAATTGCGGAATAGTAGAAGGCTGAAGGGTTTTTTGTAACCCATATTACTTATGGAAAACCCTCTTCCTTCTCCAACGGGTGCAGGTCTGCCTTAGATGCCCATCTCATAAAATTTGACTTTCAAGGTATTTGGTAGTCTGTGTCAAGAACGGCAACTTACTTATAATTTATCATCAATAGAAATATAACCTGCCTGCCTGTAAATCTGCCCAGAGACACAGGATACGAGAGGGGCAGAAAATAAACTTCACAGTAAACAAACAAATCAATAAAGTTACTTTGATTACTAAGCAGCCCAACAATTATTTTTTCCTTCTTTAACATAACTGTACATAGTTTGAGCTGCTGAATATCCCCAATAGACAATCCAAATGCATTTAAGTTATAAAGACAAGCCAACATGGCTTTCTCCAAACAGATCATGCCAAACATTTTCTTATTTCTTTCTTTTGATAAAGTGACTAAATTCATGGATCAGCGAAATGCTGTGGATATAGTATACTTGGATTTCAGTGAAGTGTTTGACAAAAGAGAACACAACCTATGTCTTGATAAACTTAAAAAGTGTGGGATAAACAGCACCATCACCAGATGCGTTTGTAACAGGCTGATAAATCGTACTCAACATTTAGTCCTCAATGGAACTACAACCACAAGGAGGGAAGGAAGCAGTGGGGTCCTACAAGGTTACGTTCTAGGCCCAGTACTATTCAATATGTTCATTAACCATCCAGAGGGGGGAATAGCACAGAAACTGATTGAAGTTGTAGATGAACAAAATAATTCTCCTATGGGGGTCTAAGAGAATGCACCAATCAACCAACTATCAAGTTCTCTCTAATCATGTCTGCCTTCTTCCTGCAGATCCTTTTTTAGTAGGTGACATTGTAGTGGAAAAACCACGATACTTACATCAGAAGACAAAACCACGAAGGGTTGGAGAAAACAGGTTTTATTTGTGCAAAGGTTCAGAGTATTCATATGACAAATTCTGAACCCTGAGTTACTCCCAGGATATCATTTTTATACAGCTTGTCACCCACGCTTTTACCCAAGCGATGACTTCTTATCTATCTTTAACATACTAAAAGAGAGACGTTCATATCTTGAGACCACACACATAGGAAAAAGGGAAGTTTATACAACGTGCAGAAAACCACACTCCCCTTCACGCGTAATGTCTTACACCATTAGTGACTTTTGGTTGGCACCTCTTGTAAAAATGTTTCTTCATAGAATTGCACACAGGTTATCACATTCAGCCAGTTTATAATATTAGTTAATGCTTGCTAAACATCACTCCTGTTAATTAAAATATAATTCAAAAGTACTTTTATCATTTCTCTTAATGGCAATTTTTCATCTACCTCAACATAAAAATATCTGAGCATGAAATGGAAGGAAAACCTCACTCTCTCGTGCATGGAAAGTGTTTCCTGATCTGCAGGGGCACCTCAAGCATAGAAAGAACACCCAGAACCCAACAATTGAAGCAGAGTGTTCTCTTGCCTGCTATCTACTGAACATCTTGGCCATAAACCTTAGCTTATCAAACCGATTTCCCTTTGTGTAGTGGGAAACGTGAGATCACCCCCTACCCCTCCCTTCTTTCCCAAGTCTCCCCTCTCTTCCCTCTTGAACCTGGAGCTCCAGCCCCCACAAGGTGGGGCAGTGGCATATATACAGAACTTCATTCTCCCATCCTGGACTGCATTGTGAAGGCTGCAGAAGAGATGGCAAGATGAAAGCTTTGCTATTTGCATTGTTGGTGGTGGCATTTGTGTGCAAGGACCCAGGTAGGCTCATGAACCTTTGATCTCGGTTGAGGATTTTATTATGTATTTATATATTTATAAATTTTATTGTCTGCCCTTCTAACCATAGGGTAACTCTGGCCGGCTTACAATTAGCATCTAAGGTAAAACATAAAACGTTCAAATCCACCCTTAAAACCAAAGAAAGATGGGGAGGGGGGGGTGGAAGTATGGGATCTGTTATTATTTAATCAACCACCTCCATTGAGTGATTCCTCCACCGGGGCCCTTAGCTGACTGGTGGAGCCCCATCTTTAGGCCCTTACGAAAAGATAGGAGGGTTGTGGGCCAGCCTCAAATTTGGGGGGGGGGGCAAGATGTTCCCAAAATGGCAGGAGCCTTTTTAGGAAATGATGTCTTTTTAAAGCTCACCGTTGTTTTTATAATCAAGCCCGGGTGCTGAACAAAGCTAATATTCGTTCTCTCTCTGCTTTTCCTGAACAAGGACCAAGTGAAGTGGGTCGAAAGAGAGAGAGTCACCCAAATGACCATTTTATTATCTTTCTGGTGAAATTTTCGCAGCCAACCTTATTAGTCAAAAGTCTATTGTTCAATACATAATAAGACAAGATCAAAGAGATAAATACTAAAGTAACATTTCTCTGTTTTATTTCTTTCATCTAGTAAAGAGTCTGAAATGTTACGAGACTGACCCATTTAGAAAAAAAACATGTTCGGAAACAGATAGATTCTGTTTTATTCTGCAGACTATTCTTGGTAAGCAAAGTTCCTATCCTTTCTGACAGTTTTTCTTCTTGTATGGAAACTAGAACTCCCAAATGCAGCTGAGGATTCCAGATCACCTAGGACCTGTCTGTGCCCTGTCTAGGTTTCCCTGAGGTCATGGCCTGACATATTAAGGCAGTGTGGCGAACCTATGGCACGGGTGCCAGAGGCGGCATTCAGAGCCCTCTCTGTGGGCATGTGTGCCGTCACCCCAGTCCTAAGCCTTCATCTAGGTTTTATAAAACCTTGTCGCTTTAGGCCTCTGCCGCTGTGTGCAAAAAAAAAAAAAAAAGGTTCAATCAATCGATCAATTTCAACTTCCTGTGGGAAAAAAAAGATCTTGCAAAGTTGGAATTGATTGATTGAACTTTTACCACTGCAGCCACACCCATCCAATGGGCCACACCCACTCAGTGTGCCACACCCATCCAATGGGCCACACCCACCTGGCACCCCACGATGCATAAGTGGGTTTTGGGTTGCAGTTTGGGCACTCGGTCTCTAAAAGGTTCGCCATCACTGTATTAAGGGATGCCAGGAAAAGGGGAGGGGTTTCAGAAAGGGCAGCCCAGTCCATCCCACAAGCACCCCCGTTTGGGGTGTGGGAATGCATGACTGTGCATCCAGTGTGGCTTTACCGTTTTGTTCAGAAATAGCCGCACACCAATTCTTTGGCACTGTAAATGTTTTGCTTTATGTTTCTTTTCCAGGAGCGCCCCGGCGTAAAGGATGTGCTCCAGTGTGCGTTGTAGGGGGCTATGTGGTGGAGATTTCGTGTTGCAAAACTGACTTTTGCAATGTTTAAAATGTTGTTTGGGGTTTTGCTGCCATCCATCATGGACCATCCTGGCAGATTTAAGCTTGTGGCCTTTACGGTCCATAATGCACCCCCTCAGCTTCTTTGGACACATCGTCCTCTCTCCTTTTTCTCCTGGTCTGCAAGACTTGTTCTGCTCTCTCTGTAGCTTGGCAACTGAATAAATTTGTGCATTTACATTCAAGCGTAGTGGATGTGTTTGGTATGACGTGTCCATTTTCCTTTTTTGAAAGTTCAATTGCGGAATAGTAGAAGGCTGAAGGGTTTTTTGTAACCCATCTTACTTATGGAAAACCCTCTTCCTTCTCCAACGGGTGCAGGTCTGCCTTAGATGCCCATCTCAGATAACTTGACTTTCAAGGTATTTGGTAGTCTGTGTCAAGAATGACAATTTACTTATTATTTATCATCAATAGAAATATAACCTGCCTGCCTGTAAATCTGCCCAGAGACACAGGATACGAGAGGGGCAAAAAATAAACTTCATAGTAAACAAACAAATCAATAAAATTACTTTGATTACTAAGCAGCCCAACAATTATTTTTTCCTTCTTTAACATAACTGTACATAGTTTGAGCTGCTGAATATCCCCAATACACAATTCAAATTCATTTAAGTTATAAAGACAAGCCAACATGGCTTTCTCCAAACAGATCATGCCAAACATTTTCTTATTTCTTTTTTTGATAAAGTGACTAAATTAATGGATCAGCGAAATGCTGTGGATATAGTATACTTGGATTTCAGTAAAGTGTTTGACAAAAACGAAGTAGAACACAACCTACTTCTTAGTAAGCTTGGAAAGTGTGAGGTAAATAGCACCATCACCAAATGTGTTTGTAACAGGCTGATAAATTATACTCAACATTTAGTCTTCAATGGAACTATAACCACATGGAGAGAAGGAAGCAGTGGGGTCCTACAAGGTTATGTTCTAGGCCCAGTACTCTTCAATATGTTCATTAACCATCCAGAGGAGGGAATATTATGGAAACTGATCAAATTTGTAGATAATCGAAATAATTCTGCTGTGGGGTCTAAGAGAAAGCACCAATCAATCAACTATCAAGTTCTCTCTAATCATGGCTGTTTGCCTGCACATCCTTTTTTAGCGGGCGCACAAAACTATCTGAGCATGAAATGGAAGGAAATCCTAACTGTCTCTAGCATGGAAAGAGTTACCTGGCATTTCACTGGGTCATTGTTCAGCGAAACCAGATGAAGAAGGAGCATAAAGTTTTGTTCACCACCAAAACAATGTAGGTGAGATGTAAACAAAAACAACTTTTCTTGAAGAGGTCATAAAATGTCAGCCGCTGAGAACTTCAGAGGCTGTTCTCTGTTTGGAAGTTAAGCAGGGTTGGGGCTGGTTAATCCTAGGAGGGGTATTCTGGAATGTATATGTAGCACTAACTAGAGAGCAGGTATCAGTGTGTTGGAGTGTCTGGCAGTTATTGGGTTAAATGCTAGGTATGTTGATGGGCCAGTGGGAGGAGTCTAAAAAGGTCATTGGGAGATTTCCTGGACACAAGCCACATGGGAAAGTCTTTGTCTGTAAGCAGCATAGGCCATGGAAGGTCACACAATAACCCTGAGCCTTTATAAAGATGGTATGGAAGAGCATCATACTTTTACCTGAAGATATGGTCTGAAGAAATGGACAAAAGATGTATTTTCCAGGAGTATCAACCACACCTTGAATGCAAGTAATCTTTCTCCTTAAAATATATATTTTTTGTTTATTATAAGATCTTTCTTTTGAGTTATCTATCTGACTTGATAGGCATTTATATCAGAGTTAGAATAAGGGGAGACCCCTCCAAGGCTGCAGGCTAGGCTGAGGAGTCTCGGAAATGACAACAATCTCAACCAATCTCAGGATGATGTCAAGGAAAAAATCCATGCTTGACTTGAAGGAGGCATCTCTGATCCCCTTTGGTTGCACCATCCCAAACGCTGAATGTCAGCAAAGCCGGAGGGAGGCAGAGAGAGGGCAAAGACAATGGAACATTCTTCCTTTTGCTCCCAAGAGTATTTCCGTGGGAGAATTCACTACGCAAAGGAACCTCTACTTTCAGAGGCAGCTGCACTGGGTGCAATTCAAGTTGTGGTTCATCCCTTTTGAATGCCTTCACCCCCCCCCCCCCGGGATTGGCCCATCCCACTCATGCCGGCAGAGGATGTGTGGTGAGGGTCCCATCAGCCCGACTATTCCAGCTGGCAGGGTCCCCAAGGAGGACCTTCTCTGCTGTGGCTCCTGCCCTCTTGAACATCCTGCCCCCCAAAGTGAGGTGGACCCCAACCCTCTTGTCTTTTCACAAGGGCCTAATGATGGGGCTCTGCCAGTCGGCTTGGGGCCCCAGTGTGGGAGGGGGGTCAGGGCAATAGAGCTGCTTGATTGAGTAATAACAGCTCTCATTTCCACCCCACTCCATCCCCATGATTCTTTGGTTTTGATGTTTGGTTTTTAACTTTTTATGTTGTAACTTAGAGGTTTAAGCCACCCAGAGTTACGCTATGGGAAGATGGGCATCCAATACATTTTATAAAAAAAAAATAAAGTAATAAAATCCTCAACCAGGATCAAAGCCTACCTGGGTCCTCTCACCTAAATGCCACCAACAAAAATGGAAATAGCAAAGCTTTCATCTTGCAATCTCTTCTATAGCCTTCAAAGTGCAGCCCAGGATGGGAGAAGGCAGTTACATATACACCACTGCCCCACCTTGTGGGGGCTGGAGATCCAGGTTCAACAGAGAGGAGAGGGGAGACTTGGGAAAGAAGGGAGGGGTAGGGGGTGTGTGAAATCGGTTTGATAAGCTGAGGTTCATGGCCAAGATGTTCAGTAAATAGCAGGCAAGAGATTGTTGTTCGTCCATCGATTTCGATGAAGACTTTGACATCTTGTGGGTTATGGGCCATCAACGATGTGTCCGTAGGTGGCTAATAAGACTGATGTTAGCATGGAATGTTCTGCCACATACTGAACAAAGAAATGTAGACACTGTTAATTCAGCATTTGCAGCTCTGGCTTTGCGGAGTGCTCGCTTTTCTTGTGCCAAGATTGTCCTTCTGTGTTCATATGTCTGGCAACCCTGGTACATCAAGGTGCACCATGTCAGTCGATCATGCGCCAGAAGTTCCCAAGAGATGGTGTTAATATCCAAGGACTTAAGATAAGCTTTTAATGTGTCTTTGTATCGCTTCTTTTGTCCCCCGTGTGATCGCTTTCCTTGAGACAGCTCACCATAGAAGAGCTGTTTAGGGATGCGATGATCTGACATCCTTACAACATGGCCTGCCCAGCGCATCTGGGCTTTCATCAACAGAGTGTAAACTGATGATAGACCTGCTCTGGAGAGGACATCTTTGTCTGGTATCTTATCCTGCCACCGGATCCTCATAATTCTACGAAGGCAAGTCATGTGGAAGTAGTTCAGTTGCCTAACATGCCTCCTGTACACTGTCCAGGTCTCACTAGCATACAATAGGGTAGTTAGCACTGCTGCCTGGTAAACTTTAAGCTTCGTAGCAAGACTTATTCCACGGCAGTCCCACACGTTAGTCCACAATCTGCCAAATGCAGAACTTGCCTTGGCAATTCTACAGTTGACCTCGATGTCAATTGTCACTGCACGGGAGAGGCAAGAGAACACCATGCTTAAGTGGTTGGGTTCTGGGTGTTCTTTATATCAGGGGTGTCAAACTCAATTTCATTGAGGGCCGCATCAGCATTGGGGTTGCCCTTGGGGGCCGGGTGGGTGTGGCCAAGGTGGGTGCGGCCTACTGATGGGCGTGGATGGAATGGGTGTGGACTACTGGGTGGGCATGGCCAGCTCTACATCATTCGCGTCAAGGGTGCCTGTGGGGGCCTGGGCAGGAGTGGGACAGATCTGAGTGTCTCTGGTAGAAGAGGGTGGGACCGGGAGAAGCACCAAGGCATGGTCCATTTCTTCATTCCTCACAAAGGGTGAAACTTCCCTAGCATGCACCCAGGGGGCAGGGCCGACGTGGCAGGGGCTGGTTTCTCGCTGTTTCCAGATGGCCTTGTGGAACTAAGACTAAATGCGTTTCAGCACAGATGGCCACCACAAAATTATACACTGGCTCCCGGCCAGCCTGGGCCAGGGCCAAGGCAGCGGGGGCTGTTCCCTCACTGTTTCCAGGATGGCTTCGCAGGATGCATGAAACCACTTCACAGGCCGCATCCGGCTCCCGGTCCTTGTGTTTGACATGTCTGCTTTATATCCTTGCGGTGTCCCTCCAAAGGTTTCCTGATCAGGCCAAGTAACACTCTCCATGCAGGAGAGAGTGAGGTTTTCCTTCCATCCCATGCTCAGATAATTTTATGTCACCTGCTAAAAAAAAGGATCTGCAGAAAACAGCCACGATCACAGAGAAGAATCAGATTGGGAACTTCAAAAAGATCTCAAAAAATTTAGGCCGAGGTGGCGCAGCAGTTAGAGTGCAGTACTGCAGGCCACTTTAGGTGACTGTGTTCAGCAGGTCAGGGGTTCAGATCTCACCAGCTCAAGGTTGACTCAGCCTTCCATCCTTCCGGGGTAGGTAAAATGAGGACCCAGATTGTTGGGGGCAATGTAAATATATATATATACATTGCTTACTGGTGTACACCGCTTAGAGAGTGCTTGCACTTAAAGCAGTATATAAGTCTCATAAATAAATAAATAATTGTTGGCCATTAAAAAAATGATTGCTGAGCCAACACTGACAAGTTGGTTAATTGGGGCCTTCTCTTAGACCCCATAGGAGAATTATTTTGGTTGGACACAAAGTCCCCTGCCTCAGAACTAGTCCCAGACTGACATAGTCCTTTTGAAAGAGGTCAGTCTTTTTCAGATATGGAAGATGAGATGAGAAGCAAGGATTCTTGCCCACCAGGATTCACTTAGATAAAGACTCACCTGTGCTCTAGACTTCATGTCCCGCAGGGCTGTAGTGACTTCAGATGGGATGATAACTTTTGGTGGACCACAGGACTGCAGCTGTTTTTGCAGGTTGAATGCCCTCAATTGCAGTAGACACGTCAAAGACTATTGTGCAGGTACTTCTTCATCTCTAGTAATAATGGAACAGGACCACAATTTGCATTCTTGCAGAATCTGGAGAGCACAGGGGAGGCAGCGTCTCATCTCTGCAGCTTATAGAGGCATTGGATAGTG